GTGTGTGTGTGTGTGTGTGTGTAACCTGGAGTTCTGGTTTATTTATAATCAGTTTTCACATCAACGTAAAACACAAAATGTAAAAGTAAGAAAACACTTTATTATGAAACCGTAAATAGAAAAAACCACAAAGGAAATAAATGGAACTGAAACAATGAGAGGAACAAAACGATGACGGACCAGAACCGGCAGCACTGGGCAGAGGGTGTAAAGGAGCCTGAGGACCAGAACCAGAGTTTAACGGGTTTATTTGGTTAGTTTATACATGACATCATTCGTTGGTTTGTGCCAAAGTTTTCACTGCAGAACCAGAACCAGAACCACGGCGGCGGTTCTTCTGTTTCATCACATCGCTGAGCGCCGCAGGTTCCTGCTGACACTAAACACACCACGGCTCCTAGCTACAGCAGCTCAGCCAATCAGGAGGCAGCTGTGGGCGGGGCTTTGTTGGACCGCCTAGTGTACACGCAGCAGCACAGAGAACATACGTGTTCACGTTTACGTGTTTACATCCCAACATACAAACTGCTGCATCATGTTTGTGAACGCCTGTAACCATGACAACCGCTCACATCAGCCGCCCTGTCACATGACAGGAAGCAGGCGAGTCCGTGTGTTTAGCGTGCTGCGGCCCTCCGGTGGTCAGAATGTGTCGGTGCAGCGTTCATGCGTCTCTACGTAGGAAGCTGAAGCGGGACAGACGGGATGAGGAGGCGCTCCTCGCTACGCCGGGCGCTACGCCGGGCGCTACGCCGGGCGCTACGGTGCTGCGTTTCACGAATCAGATGCACGGATCGCTCTATTTAATAATAACTAATGTTGAACTTCCCTCCTGCTGGGAACGTGCGGTTCGGTCCGACTGTCCTGAGCTGGTGCCTTCAGTGACAGTTTGACTCAGCTGCTGCTGATGGTGACAGAGAACTGACGAGGTATTGATCGATCGGTTCTGGATCAGTCTTGTGGACGGTGTCAGGTCCGGCAGCCTGCTCACATTCATGCTGTTCACCTCAGCAGCACCAACAGGTGAGACTGACATCATGACGGCGAGCTCCTCGGTGGGCGTCGGCCTCGGTGTTGCTGGTGATGTCAATCAGCTGGTCGGACCACCAGAGCCAATCAGACGCTGTCCTGAGCAGCACCTGTGAGTCTGGCTCCGGTGGCCCCGCCCCCCTTTAGGAGGTGGCGGCCTGTTTGTTGCGGAACGTTTCAAAGAACGCCATCATGCCCTTCCTCACGCCGCCGCCGTTGCCCTTCGCCATCCTGGACGCCATCATGGCAGAGCCGCCGCCGCTGCCGCTGCCACCACCGTGGAGGCCGGACGAGAGGGGCAGGAAGCCGGCGGCGTCCATGGAGTTGGCCCGTTTGACCTTTGAGGGGGCCGCACGCCACGATTTGATCCTCGGAGGCGGAGTCTGAGCCACCAAACACTTCTGGTACTGAACCTGTTCATCCAGCAGATTAAATCATCGTTAATGGAAACAAAGTGTCTGGAGCTGATCGGATCAATCAGATGATTAATGAAGATCCATGAACAAACGGAACGGACCAGAACATCACATGACTTCTAGAAATCACCTTTTTTAAGCTATTAAATAAATTGTATTTTACATTTTCTGTTCAGCGAAAACAATCATCACATAAACTTTCAAAACTATTTTCTTTTTTTTATTATAGTTTTGTTTTGTTTTGTTTTGTCTTCTGTGTGTTTTTTGCATCTTTAACGTTTTCTTTACGTTCTCATATACACCTGAATGTCGCCCTCACCTGGCCGGAGCTCAGGTGTGAATGTGTTCTACCTGTCGGTGTTAGTTCCTCACCATGCACGCCGCCTGCACGGCCTCCGACAGGATTCCTGCGTCCGGCTCGCACCAGAACACGTGACACTCAAACCGCTGCGTTCCACCGTCGACGATCACGGCGAAGGTGTGGCTGTCGTGGCCGACGCCCAGGAAGGTGAGGAAGCGCACCTGACACTCCCAGAAGGGCTCGTCGCCGTCCTGCGAGGACAAGAGCAGGTGATCAAACATGGCGGCAGCGGCATTGACCTCTGATCTGCGGCCGGCGGCGAGGACAGTACCTCTCCCTTCCACAGCGACAGCACGTTGTCGGTGACGTGGATCACCGCCGGCTCCCAGTCGTCGCGGTCCGTCGAGTTCATGATGCTTTCGATGGCTCGGTTCAGGACCTCCATACCTGCAACACAGCACACCTGCACCTGAACACCTGCTGGTCACCGTCAGACACGTTGACGTCTCTCCTTTCACTAAGTGCTCTCTGTAAACTGATGCAGAAGGATGCTAATGCTACATGGGCTAGCATACCAGCATGAAACCTGAGTGGTTTGAATCTTCAGTTAAAGAAACACGACGTAGAGCTTCAGAAAAAACAGCAAAACGTAGATGTTAAGCCGTAACTCTGTGAAGCCTCGAACCGTAGACACATGTAGCCGCTAAAGATGCTACATCCACTGATGTGTCTGAGCTAGCATGTTTAAAGAGAGGTTAGCGGGCTTGCATGTTAGCTATTGGGAGGTTGTGTATTATCCAGCGTTAACTTGTTTTATAGATATTGTTAGCTTGTATGATAGTGAATGTTAGCATGTATGTTAGCCAGTGGTACCTTGCATGCTAGCTGGTGATAGTGTGTTTGTGTGTACATTAGCCAGTCTTGGCTTGTATTTTAGATTGCTAGAGGTGCTAGAGGTGGCTTGTATGTTAGCTGTTGTTTGTTTGTATGTTAGCTCATGTTAGCATGTGTGTTAGTTAGTGTTAGCATCTATGTTAGCCAGCAGTGGCTTGTGTGTTAGTATGTATGCTAGCTAGCGGTAGCTTGTAAGCTAGCATGTTTGTTAGGTATGATAGCATATATATTGGCTAGTGTTAGTTCCGTGTTAGCCAGTATTAGCATGTATGTTAGCTATTGGTAACTTGTATGTCAGCTAGTGGAAGTTTGTGTATCAAGTAGTGTTAGCTCTGTGTTAGCTAGTGTTAGCATGTGTGTTAGAGTGTATGTTAGCTATTTTAACTTCTATCTTTTGTTAGCTTTTCTGTTAGCTAGTTTTAGCCCCTTTACTGTTAACTAGCCTCAGTGTGAGACACAGCTAAGGTAATTAGCATGCTAAAACATTAAGTTGTTGCCGCCTTGTCTGCAGCTCTGTTCAGTTCTCACGATCAAAATAAACCACATCAAGCTTTGTCTAAATTTAACTCATATGTTCAATAAACCAACACTGTGATTGGTTGGGCATCAATAACATGCTGTAGGTGGTTCTCCTACCCATGGCTCTGGACACCGGCAGATTCCCGATATACTGGACCTCAAACTTCTGGACCTGCTGCCGGACCGCTTCCAGGAACTCCACTGAAACAACAGCGGGGTGTCACAAGCAGGGAACCAATCACAGAGCAGCGTTTGACCTGAGAGAACTCACCTTGTCGGGGCAGGTCTTCAGGTGAGATGCTCTCCATGGTGAGAGAGCGAGACGGCCTCATCAGCGCCTTGTCCGACATCATCTGCTCTCAGAAAGATGAGAACGTTTCACAGCCTTCATTCAGAAAACACCTCAGAAATAAGTGTCTGAGTTTCACCCACTGTGCTGCAGCGCCCCCTGCTGTCTGCTGAACACATGAACCCCAACTAAAGTCCAGCGAGAGCATATAGACAAAATGTAAAAGTTCACAATAAAAAAAATGACACGGCAGTCATAGAAATCTTGAGGGAAAAAGAGACATTATGAATACATAGATAGATAGATAGATAGATGGATAGACAGATTGATCGATCTTCACAGTGAACTATTCATCAGTAATTTATGTTAATAATAAAAATGTAAAGAAAAACTGTTTTTGTATTTAAAACAATGACAAATGACATCATTTGACGGGAAGCTAGCGCCATAACTCCACAAACCTTTGAGCACATTTCGTGAAGCGCCGACGCGATGGCTTTAGCCGGAGCGTCGCAGCGAAACACGTGACACTTGAGCACACAGCTGTCCTTATCGCCCGCCACGAAGGCAAAGTCCCTGAAGGCAACACACACACACACACACACACACACACACAAGCGATCAGCAGCTGAAATCAATAAACGCCGCTGAGGTGCAGAAGAGCCTGTGAGGTGTCAGTGATCAGAGTGGAGCCGGTTACCTGTCCCTGCAGGTGTGAGGGGGCGTGGCAAAGAAACAGAGAGTGACACAGGGTTAGTGGACCTGACAGGTAGACAGGAGGAAAGGTGAGTTCAGCATGTCGGCATGCAGTGCTGTCACACATTAGCCTAGCTTAGCACTAAGACTGCAAGCAGAGGGAAACTGTTAGCTTAGCTTAGCACAAAAACTAGAAACAGAGGGAAACTATTAGCTTAGCTTAGCACAAAAACTAGAAACAGAGGGAAACTATTAGCTTAGCTTAGCACAAAAACTAGAAACAGAGGGAAACTATTAGCTTAGCACAAAGACTAGAAACAGAGAAGCAATTAGCTTAGCTTAGCTCAAAAACTGCAAGCAAAGGGAAACAATTAGCTCATCTTAGCACAAAGACTGCAAGCAGAGAGAAACTGTTAGCCTAGCTTAGCACAAAAACTAGAAGCAGGGGGAAACAATTAGGTAGCTTAGCACAAAGACTGCAAGCAAAAGGAAACCCTTAGCCTAGCTTAGCACAAAAACTAGAAGCAGGGGGAAACAATTAGGTAGCTTAGCACAAAGACTGCAAGCAAAAGGAAACCCTTAGCCTAGCTTAGCACAAAAACTAGAAACAGAAGTAAACAGTTAGCTTAGCTTAGCACAAAGACTTGAAGCAGGGGGAAACTGGTAGCCTAGCTTAGCACAAAGACTACAAGCAGGGGGGGAACTGTTAGCCTAGCTTAGCACAAAGACTGCAAGCTGAGAGAAACTTTATTGTCAAGCCAGCTGCTCTCTGATTGGCTCACCTGCCGTTGTTGCAACCCACCCCCCAGACACGGATGTTGATGATTGGCTGGCAGTGGAGGGGGGTGTGGTCTAAAGGGTCCAACAGGGTCAAAGTGTCTTTCTTCAGAACCAGCTTCATCTCCCGACCCTGCAGACAGACAGACAGACAGACAGACGGCGTCAGCGTGAGCAGCTCGGTTCTGGACGGCGCCTGGCTCCGGTCTCACCTCCCCCCAGGCTCCCAGCCGGTCCCTCTGCTCGGGGCTGCTGCAGTGAGACAGCTGCTGGATGACGTTGCTGACCGCCAGGCTGCTGCGCCCTGGAGACAGATCCTCCTCCTCCACCTGCAGCCAGCCCAGAGAGCGCACCGCGAAGCACTGCCGGACGAAACCAGGACAACGGCACAGATTAGAGCAGATTAGAGCTGAGTGAGAGTGGTGGAGAGCAGGAGAGAGATTAGAGAGATTAGAGCTGCAGCAGATGAACTCTGCTTCATGTTCTGGTGGGATTGAGCTTCTACACTGAGCCGTCCTGCATCGCTCTGCTCACGGCAGCAAACCGTCTCAGAGACGCTTCATCACAGCTGCTTCAGCCGCCTGTTGTCCTCAAACATCCATCAGAGACACCAGAACACTCAGAACCAGAACACTCAGAACCAGAACACTCAGAACCAGAACACTCAGAACCAGAACACTCAGAACCAGAACACTCAGAAACACAACGTCTGTATGAACACACAGAATCTGAGGTGGAGCGACTCGTCTGTGACGTGAAACATCAGAAACATGAACCAGCACTCAGTCCACTGACTTGTCAGTTCAACGATCAGCAGATCAACCCTGTGAGCTCCAGAACCTGCCGACAGGACGCCGTCGCTGAACCGTTCATCTGTGATGTGAGGTGACATCAAGAAAAAACACCAAATAAAAGCAGCATGGATCAGAACCAGAGAACAGAGCAGCCAGATGCAGGAGATACGTTCAGCATGGAGGAACATCTTTCTACAGCTGATGAGCAGAGAGAAGAAGGCTGGAGACATGGAGATGGTTCAACATGTGCAGGACGAGGAGACCACATGAGCTCCAGTGATGGAAACATGTTGGTTCCTGGTTTTTTACACTTTGTGACACTAGAACTCCACGGTTCTGCTGACAGGAGACGTCTCTGGTTTCTCTCTCCTTCTTCATGTTCTGGTTCCACAGAGCTGCAGGACTTGATATTGAAACATGAACCTCAGTGAACCACAAAGCAGAAACACCCAGGAAGTGTTCTGGGTTCAGAGGGTTGAACAAGCTGCACCTTTCTAACTTCAGGCTGATTTCTGAGTTTTCTTTTTTGCTCCAAGTCCTTGTTCAGCTGCAGCTGTGAAACTGTGCTGTTTAAAATGATGCTTCACAGCATTTCACCACCAGGAGGCGCCGCTGCCACTGTCAGCTTTTACAACAACGAACTGAATGTTGGAATATGAAGCCAGTTCAACAGATCCAGACTTCCTCTGTGTAGCAGCTCCACAGGAACTGAAGCTCCAGCAGAGATCTCAAGTATCATGAAGGAGGTTCAACTTCCTGCTTCAGACTCTGTTCTCATGAAAGGAGGCGTGAACGCGTCACGTGACTCTTCTTCTGACTGAATGAATCGATGTTGTTGTTTACCTTTGTGTCAGGGTCGTCGTTGCTCACATCGTCTTCATGCCACGATGACCTGAAAGAGAAAACACCGTCAGAACGTTTCTACACCGTCAGCTCGGTTCTACACCGTGAGGACGTTTTTACACCGTCAGGACGTTTCTACACCGTCAGGACGTTTCTACTCCGTCAGAACGTTTCTACACCATCAGCTCGGTTCTACACCGTCAGCACGTTTCTACACCATCAGAACGTTTCTACACCTTCAGAACGTTTCTACACCATGAGGACGTTTCTACACCGTGAAGACGTTTCTACACCGTCAGAACGTTTCTACACCATGAGGACGTTTCTACACCATCAGGACGTTTCTACACCGTCAGCACGTTTCTACACCGTCAGGACGTTTCTACACCGTGAGGACGTTTCTACACCGTGAAGACGTTTCTACACCGTCAGAACGTTTCTACACCGTCAGAACGTTTCTACACCATGAGGACGTTTCTACACCGTGAGGACGTTTCTACACCGT